AAAAAGGAAATAAAGAAAAACATACAACACAAACATAAGTAGAAGAGTAAGCTATAATACAAACAAATAAAGATAGATTAAAACATGTTAAACATTCACCTAAGATACACACAACACATCAAACCAAGCAACACTATATTATGACCACACTTTAACTTGACCATCTCGATTAGTATGAATATTGAGTTATGACAGTTCATGCACTTGTTATGGTGAAACAGTTGGCCCACCCCAACCTACCACACAAGATTAGTTCGTTATCACTCGCCTTAGGCTAAGGTAAAACCCTACACTAGGACTTCCTGCTATTCTCATGACATGTATCACCCTTCTCTACTTGAGAATGGGTGACCATTAGAATGTCAGGATGAACTCCAAGACTGAACTTCCCATATTCATATTTATAATACTTGAAACCACCACTAAGAAATTCCTCCCTATAACTCTCTTCCATACCTTTGAAATCATAATTATACTCATATACATTCACATTGAATCACAACATATAACATTAATGATCATATATAATACCATAGATACTTCTACATCATCCTAAATATCAATACATAACTAGAGGTTATCAGAAAATAAAGATATAAAGAAAAAAAAAACAATTATGGACTAGTCATTCGATGCACCAAACTCGATGTGCGAAAACATAAACAATGGGTTCTGCTCGCTCACCTCTCGCTCAACGACAACTCTTACTCAGCTAGAAGTGTTCTGTTCGCTCAGCGGACACTCACTCTCTCAACGAAACTGCATAATTCTACAACACCAAAACTATAGAATTTGCACCTCTCAACCACTCATGACCTATTCTATATATCTTTCCTAACTTCTAATGCGCCTAGATCGTATTCTAGACTCAAATGCACCTAAATAAATGTATCTAAACCAACCTAAACACATTTTAAACTCTTTGACCATAAGATTTCAAACTAAAATTTATCAAAATCTCACTTTAGAGACCCAAACTGAATTTTGTCAGTTATGACTTATTTTCAAACAACTTAGGGACTCCAACAAGTTCCAAATGACTTACTAACACCCTCCAATATGACCATTTAAACACAACCCAAAATTCAAATTCTCACTAGTCCAAACCCCCAAAAACTAGTTCCAAACTAAGCTAAACTCTACCTATCAACCACCAAACACTCTTACATCAAAATTCTTCCATTTTAATGCTTAAACAAGTGACAAAACCTCTCATAACAGACCCCAAATGCCTCAAATCAATTTACAATTCTTCTCTCACAATTTCACTACCTAAAACCTCATTTTTCCTTCAAAACACTTTCAAACTTCAACTATAAACTTCACTTTCACTATAGCTCAGATTTCAACCCCCAATATACACCAAACAAGTCTCAATCTACCTAATGACAACACCTAGATAATAGTTTACTCTCAATAGCCTCCACTTCTCAAACACACTCTTGTAAACTTCCCCCTTTTAGACTTAAAACTAAATAAATGTAACCATTTCTCATTACAACCATTTTGAACTCAGTTTCTAAGAACAACACAACTTCATCAAACACATTCATTACATTATAACACATTAAGATCACACAAATACGATTACTCTCAACATCATACCATCCAAATTAACAATTAAACACACATATAAAACACCTAATCATGGTAACTTCTTCAAAATCAACAAAAATTCATAAAGATACCAAATTAATAATATAACCATAACTAAAGCAAGAATCCTGACTTCCCTTACCTCAAAACAAACTGTCCCAATTCTCAAAACGTCCCACCGATTGCTTGCAACGTAAGGAATTTATAGATGAACCTATGAAACATCAAGTTGGAAACGGACAAAATCCTTATGACTCTAAATCAACCAAGAACTAAGGAAGAAAACAAATTGATACATACAAAACAGTTTCTTTGCATGATCAAGGATCGAAACTCATAGGTAAAAAGGAGCAGAAACTTACTTGCTCTATAACAAAAATTGATCGGATAGATAGGTAGACCTTGACGCCGTGATCGTCTAGGCATCTCCTGATCGTCAAACAGATGACTTAGGAGCAAGAACACTTAGAAAGAAGTGAGAGGAAGCAAATAGAAAGAGTTCTAAAGAGATAAATGTGTTTTAAATAATGAGACGAGTTTAGAAAATTCTATTTATTTTATAAAATTATTTTAAAATAAAATACTCAATCTCATTATTTTAATACACCTACCAACTCTAATACCGTATTCTTTAGGTTGTTATAGTAAAATACGAAAATAATCATAGCACTTTATTTATATATCAGCCCATGTAATAGTCTGTTTAATATTTTTTTCCTCCAAGGAAAAGGATGGTAGATTTATTCGAGTGCCTTACGATTTCTATTATTATATATATATAGGGGTTTGCTAACTTGCGTATGCTTGTTTTTTCAGTTGGTACATTTTAGCAATGTGTACCGGGTTTTAGTAGACAAAAATACCTTATATTATGGATTCTAAGTTTTAAGGTCAAAGGTATTTGAATAATTTTCATTCTGAAAACTAAAAAAAAAAACAAGAAACTCCCAAACCCTTATTCACCTCCCTCATTCCTCTCAACCCTTCCTCTTTCATCTCTCTTACTCCAACATTTTCTCTGTCATCCTATGGTAGCTCCAATTGAAAAAAGGCAGAAACACTAATTGTTAAACAATTTTTTACAAAAAATGATTTTATAATGAGTTTTCATTTTATAATTTTTGTCTTATCTAATTTTATCTAATTTTCACAAGCATAATGACATATGAAGGAATTGGTAATTGGCCTGGAAAAAATCAGAAATACTCGTTGTTAAACAATTTCTTACAAAAAATTATTTTATGATGAATTTTTATTTTATAATTTTTGTCTTATCTAATTTTATCTAATTTTCACAAGCATAATGACATCAAAAGAATTGGTAATTGGCCTGGAAAAAATTAGAAACACTCGTTGTTAAAAAATTTCTTATAAAAAATGATTTTATAATTTTTGTGTTATCTAATTTTCACAAGCATAATGACATTCGAAGGAATTGGTAATTGACCTGGAGGATTTTTTTTAGAGATAATGATTCAACATATGTAGATGATGAAATTAGAGAGGTTATAGTGAAGATGATGAAATGAAAGAGATCTTGAATGAACCTTTGTCTGAAGGTGAATATGTCAATGACTCAACTATTTACAAAGGTAAATTGTTTAAGGGCGAATGTTTATGATTTTTTCACTTAGGGTTACGGTATGAATGACGGAAAAAATGTTAGGGTGAGAAAGATGAAAGAGAAAGGGTTGAAAGAAATCAGAGAGGTGAGTAAGGGTGTGGAGTTTTTTGTTTTTTTTTTTTAGTTTTGAGAATAAAATTATTCAAATACCCTTAACCTTAAAACTTATAATTCATAGTATATGAGAGTATTTTTGTCTACTAAAATCGATATATTTTGTTAAAATGTACAAACTGAAAAACAAACAGGCATGTTACCAAACCCTTATATATATATATATATATATATATATATATATATATTCAATTGGGTTTTTGTCATTAATGACAATGATCTATTGAGATCTTACACCTTCAAGTACAACATTACAAATTTAAACAACAATAAAAACAAAATTTCGGAAATTATAATTACTTACAAAAATAACAATGTTTCCTTAATTAAATACTAAAATAAAATTTAAATAATCATTGGAAAACATGAAACAATGTCACTTCAAGTAGGATAATTAAATTCTAAAATTTTATTTTTATTGTTGTCTAATGTTGTAATTGAGTTTACATAATCAAATCGTTACATCACCCATATTTATTATCAATTTTAACGTATAAAGTCATTTTAATCAGTACTTTTAATGGAGGTTATTTGAAGAATGTTAAATTAATTTTAATTTGGTTAAAAATAGATTTAATAACTTCTATCTTTATGGTCTCTATCAATCTTTAGTTTTCGCTTAATATTATGAAAAATATCACCTCTCATTGTTAAAATTAGTATGTATTGATAAATCCCTAATGAACTAAGACAATATGATTTTTATACTAAAATGAATAACATTAAATAAATGTTTAGATTATTAATGTGATATTTTAAATTCATATACTTTTTTAGTTTATATATATGGTGTTGGAGTCATTTTCATCTAGAGACGATTTTTCTGGATAAACAAATAATTTATTCTTGTTTAATGATACGTAACATGTAATTATAATTTCAAATGTAATAATCTAGTTCGATATAAATATATAGTTTAATATAATATATATATATATATATATATATATATATATATATATATATTACGTATTTTATAAGTTTGAAATTAACTTAAAGCACATACAAGTTAAAGATTCGAATCATTTATACAATAATGCTAAATTTTCTTAAGTGAAATTTGTTTTCATAAAGATAAATCCATTGCAATCAATTGTAAGCATAATCTTGTAAGGTTGTGTTTAAAAAATAAATTATATTATAAAGCTTCCATAATACGGATTACACGTTATAATTAATTGTTATTATTGTACTACACGTTTTAAAGGACAGTATTTTCATAATTTTGATAAATGAAATATTCTTGACTGTTTTTAAAAACCAAATTAGTCAAATATGACTATTTGTGAATATTTTGAAATAAAATATAAATTTCAGACCGAAAAGCACCTAAAGTTACACCAGTTGTACCAATTTCCGCAGTCATGCCAAATGATTGGAGTGGAACTATCCAAGAACGATTTTGCTTCTTCAAGGTTTAGTTTCTTCTCATTCCAACTCCACACTTAATACAATTATGCCTCCAAAATTCATATAGCTGCATAAGAAATAATAGAAAAATAACATTTATTATTATTATTGTTATTATTAAAACATTATAAAAAATAATCAGTGCCATTGTTTACCAATAATTATAATTACAGTAACTAAGTTATGTAATGAGTTATCTGACTGAAGTCGTGGTTAGGTGGAGGCAAATTCGACAAGGTTCCAAATTTCCACTCGTGTATAAATTCAGATCCGCACGTTAACCAAATCGCAATTCGCACTTCAGAGTCCTATCGCTTTCCACGTAAGTCACACACAAGCTCCAAAAAACAGAAACACTGAATTCACCGCCGATGGAGATCGACGGCAACGTTCTCGCCGCCAAGTCGTTGGTCCGCTTCGGCGTGCGCCATATGTTCGGCGTGGTGGGAATTCCGGTGACTTCGCTGGCAAACCGCGCCGTCGCCCTCGGCGTCCGATTCATCGCCTTCCACAATGAGCAGTCCGCGGGCTACGCCGCCTCTGCCTACGGCTACCTCACCGCGACACCCGGCGTTTTCCTCACCGTCTCCGGCCCCGGCTGCGTCCACGGCCTCGCCGGCCTCTCTAATGCCTCTATCAACACCTGGCCTACCGTCCTGATCTCCGGCTCCTGCGACCAGGCCGACGTCGGCCGCGGCGACTTCCAGGAACTCAACCAGATTGAAGCCACCAAGCCTTTCTCCAAACTCTCCGTCAGAGCCTCTCACATCTCCGAAATCCCGGCCCGTGTGGCCCAAGTTTTGGAATGGGCCCAATCAGGCCGGCCGGGTGGGTGCTACTTAGATCTCCCCACCGATGTCTTACATCAAAAGATATCAGAATCCGAAGCGGAAAAACTCTTGACCGAAGTGGAAAAAAACCGCGCGAAACCCGAACCTTATTCTATTTCCAATTCGAAGATCGAAGAAGCTGTTTCTCTGCTTAGACGNTGGTGTATAAATTCAGATCCGCACGTTAACCAAATCGCAATTCGCACTTCAGAGTCCTATCGCTTTCCACGTAAGTCACACACAAGCTCCAAAAAACAGAAACACTGAATTCACCGCCGATGGAGATCGACGACAACGTTCTCGCCGCCAAGTCGTTGGTCCGCTTCGGCGTGCGCCATATGTTCGGCGTGGTGGGAATTTCGGTGACTTCGCTGGCGAACCGCGCCGTCGCCCTCGGCGTCCGATTCATCGCCTTCCACAATGAGCAGTCCGCGGGCTACGCCGCCTCTTCCTACGGCTACCTCACCGCGACACCCGGCGTTTTCCTCACCGTCTCCGGCCCCGGCTGCGTCCACGGCCTCGCCGTCCTCTCTAATGCCTCTATCAACACCTGGCCTACCGTCCTGATCTCCGGCTCCTGCGACCAGGCCGACGTCGGCCGCGGCGACTTCCAGGAACTCAACCAGATTGAAGCCACCAAGCCTTTCTCCAAACTCTCCGTCAGAGCCTCTCACATCTCCGAAATCCCGGCCCGTGTGGCCCAAGTTTTGGAATGGGCCCAATCAGGCCGGCCGGGTGGGTGCTACTTAGATCTCCCCACCGATGTCTTACATCAAAAGATATCAGAATCCGAAGCGGAAAAACTCTTGACCGAAGTGGAAAAAAACCGCGCGAAACCCGAACCTTATTCTATTTCCAATTCGAAGATCGAAGAAGCTGTTTCTCTGCTTAGACGTGCGGAGAGGCCGTTGATTGTGTTTGGAAAAGGAGCGGCGTACGCCCGTGCGGAACACGTCCTTACGAAGCTGGTGGAGACGACTGGGATTCCGTTTCTCCCCACTCCGATGGGTAAGGGGTTGTTGCCGGATACTCACGCGCTTGCTGCCACCGCTGCTAGGTCACTCGCGATCGGGAAGTGTGACGTGGCGCTTGTGGTTGGAGCGAGGTTGAATTGGCTTCTCCATTTCGGTGAGCCACCAAAATGGTCGAAGGATGTGAAGTTTATCTTGGTGGATGTGAGTGAGGAGGAGATTGAGCTGAGAAAACCTCACTTGGGTTTGGTGGGTGATGCTAAGCAGGTGATTGAGGTTTTGAATAAGGAGATTAAGGATGACCCGTTTTGCTTGGGGAACACGCATCCATGGGTGCAAGCGATTTCCAACAAGGCGAAGGATAATGTGGCAAAGATGGAGGTTCAGTTGAGGAAGGACGTTGTGCCGTTTAATTTTTTGACGCCTATGAGGATTATACGCGATGCTATTGCGGATTTAGGAAGTCCTGCTCCTATAGTGGTTTCCGAAGGGGCAAATACCATGGATGTGGGAAGGTCTGTGTTGGTTCAGACCGAGCCTCGGACGAGATTGGATGCAGGCACGTGGGGGACCATGGGAGTTGGTCTAGGTTACTGCATTGCCGCCGCTGTTGCTTCTCCGGACCGGCTCGTGGTTGCTGTTGAAGGGGATTCTGGATTTGGGTTTAGTGCCATTGAAGTTGAGGTACATTCTTGACCAATCATGCCTTGTTTATTATGCATAGTAATTACTTAGCTGTTCTTGTGCAATAAGTGTGTATGTGTGTTTGAGAGAGACATTGTCGTTTTTATTCGTTTTACTGTCCTATGCGAACTGAACCAAGTCCTGGAATTGAGATGGCACATGTGCCATCTGTTGGAATAGATTATAGGATGGTGTTCCTGAAGGTGTAAATAGATTTGTTAATTGTGACGAATATATTCCCCTTCTTCTCCCTGTCATTGGAATAGTGGTTCAGCCTACACTGGACTAAACAGTATTATCCCAGTGCTCATTTACTTCGTAGATGAGGGAGTCAAAAACAAAATGGATGAAAAAGTACCTGAGTTCTAAGTCGCATTTGGCTTGCTTAACTGTAGTATCTCAGTAGTATGCGATTTTGACTTCTTTTGAGAACTTCTAAACAAGGTTTTGCTGTTCTTGTTTGTTGTAATTATGCATTTTTCTGTTTTCAGTTATCTTTTCTCAAAGACTTGAGAAGTTTTATATCTTTTAGCCTGAACCAGGAAAATAAGTTTCTTCAAGTTTGAAATGAGAATGCTTATGAATTTTAGTTTATCTAAATGGTTTTCTTGTTTTAATAACTGAGAAACTCAATTTTTGTTAACCATTTATTTTCAAGTTTATAAATTGTTATTATTATATGTATATGCAAATTCTCTCAATTAGCATGACTGTATGATTTCGTATGTTTTTAACGTCATTGTTGCTACTGACGCAATTAATTTTTCGGAATACAAGAATGCCATGTGATGCTTTGTCTTTTTTCCAGACACTGGTTCGGTACCAGCTTCCTGTGGTTGTGATTGTTTTCAACAATGGGGGTGTTTATGGTGGCGATCGGAGACGCCCAGAAGAGATAGATGGACCTCACAAAGGTGATCCTGCCCCTACAGATTTTGTCCCAAATGCAGGATACCATGCTTTGATAGAAGCTTTTGGCGGAAAGGGCTATCTTGTTGGGACGCCTGATGAACTCAAGTTTGCTCTTTCAGAATCGTTCTCTGCTCGGAAACCAGCTGTAATAAATGTTGTGATTGACCCCTATGCCGGTTCAGAGAGCGGGAGGATGCAACACAAAAATTAATTACACTTATTTAGTTGCCAATTACTATATATCATCCTTTCACTTATTTTACTTCTGGTTTTGAATAACACATCGATTGTACTCCTAAGGTTTTTCATGCTTGAATTATCTGTTTCAGCATGGCCATCATCAAGTTTATTTCACTACTATAGAATTGTTTATATAAAAGCTCTCAACTTTTTTCTCTGGATTCCCCTTTATCATTGTCAAAGTGTACATAATGATATTAGTTGAGAGTCCTCAAGGATTCAATGCAATTATGGAGTCTAGTGATTGATTCTCACATTTTCTTTGATGGGGAACTGTTATGTTAACAATAGAGCACATGGACAGGGAGTACAGCAAATATTGAAAGTTAAACCCACGAAGGAACGAGACTAAAGTAGGGGCTATGGGGCTGTCAAGTGTTTGTGTATCTTTGGAACTTTTGGGGTGAGGGGAAATGATATGATGAGGATGCATGATCTTGAACTTCGATTTACTTTGATAATTAATTGAAGCACCTTCTAATGTTTTTTTTCCATGCTTTTATCTTTCTTGTCTATGGTCCTTCAAATTCATTGTTCATTGTGTCCCTAATTGTCATTGGCTTTTAATTTTCAGCATACTTCTGTTGTTACCTTTATTGAATGATAATGCTATTGTTCTTAATTTTCCTAATCGGTGACTTGCACTTTTGGCCATGTATTTGCTGTGATATGTTGAATACTGTCTAGTAGATATCTGTATCACACCTTTGGTATGCTAACTAGCAAATTTGTGTGGTTTTTGACATTGGAAGAACTGTTGTTTTTTTTTTTTCTGTTTGAGGTGTGGTGTGACCTATACTGTCTGTTGGGCCGTGACCAGTTATTTGAGGTTTGGTGATCTGTGGTCTGGAAATGTTATTGTGAACATATACCCTCATGATTATGCTGTGATAATCCAAAACCACCAGATTCATCTGAGAGTGATTTCACCAAGCAATGGCCTTCGGAGCTCTCTGAGTACCTGAATTTAGATGATGGTCAATGGTCATACGACACAATCACACATTATAGCAACTAAACACTGTAAAAGTAAACACTATAACAGCTAAGACACCTGGAATAGTTCTTATAGCAATTATCCCCCTGAAATTTACACTCTAAGCAACCAGTAACACACAAACCAGCCACTGACATCTAAAAGCAAGGTTCTAACAGATTGAAACCTTCCAATCTAAGCTTAACGTGTTCATACTAGAAGTTATTCTTAGTGTTGTTATGAGTGCATTTGGGTTGCAAAATGGTTTTCTGCCCATGTCTGAAATTGAATTATTGTATGTATTGTGTTGTATTTGCTCTGAACATGTTAAGTCTTGATGGATGTTAATATCACTCCTAGTAATTGTGAGATTTTGGTTTATGGATAAACGTGTAAGTGTTGTTTTGCTAGCCATAATGCATCATAAGTATGTTGTGATTTTGTGTGTGAATGATTTGGTAGAAGCTATTCCTGCATATTTTTCTTTGAGTGGCGGTGATTGTATCTCGGTCAAGACTGCTTCCTGCATCATAATATGTGCCTGGTTCTGTTTTTCCCTTGAGTGGCACAAGTGCTGATGGTTTTATGGTTTGTTTCGGTGTTGATTGACTTCATGACTTGCATTGAAACTGATTTGTCACAGTTGCCTTATGCATTAAATTATTTTGTTCACTCTACATTGTTTAATTGGTTCTATTGTTGATAGGTTCGAATATTGAAAGATATAAGTTTATAACCTGAACAATGTGAATACATTTAACTTAGTTAACTGTCTAGTATCAAGGATGCATGAATTATATGCCCTGGTTGTTAATTTATAATCTGGTTATGAAACTTTATTTGAGTGATGCAAATGATGATGAATGATGAAAGTGTTTTAGGCCAGCAACATGAATCTAGTTACCTGAAATTAACTATATAAAAGTGGTGCCAACGCATGGTGGTTAAGTTAATAGAAGTGAACTCATAGATAGTGTAAGGTTGTGACGCCCTGCTTATGTGATTGCACATATATTGCTTATGATGGGTAGTGCATTTCATCTTTCCTCTAAAACATTCGTGTTGCTGGTAGTTTCATTACAATATGATCTCAATGTTGGAATTATGAATTCCTATGGTTTTATTAATTATTTGTGCCCTGATGATGTCCAAATTGATTACCAAGACTTAGTGTGAGGGTATGTTTGTATTTTTGTTAATGATTGGCTTTTGAGGATCACTTAGTTGGTAGTAAACCTTAACTGTACTTTGGCCTAGGGCTTTCTATGGTGAGGTTGTTATGACTGCCGGAATTAAGTGAGAAAATGGTTGGATCAAATAAAACTGGTCTTACCTTGACAATTATATATTAATAATGAAATCGGTTGATTACGTTTGAAGATGTAGGAATACTATAGGTATTATTGATTCTGCAGAATTAATTTCAGATTTATGGTGAGGTTGTTATGACTGCCAGAATTAAGTGAGAAAATGGTTGGATCAAA